ATGAAACCCAAATACCAGATAAGGCTCAAGGTCATTGTTTTAATAACAAGTCTCCCAAGCAAAACATGTTTAGCCACCACAGAGCACAGCAAACTGCAAAAACCAACACCAATTTTTAACAAGTACAGCAAAGGAGGGAGCATGGTGCAGACTGGATAAACTAAGATCGAGAACAAATGAATCAAATCACGACCCACAATTGTTTAACAGATATAAATTCCTTAATATTCTCTGGTTAGTCTGTTGTTATCTCAAGCCCTTCAGGCCCCACGTTGGGCACCTAAAAGGACTGTCGTGGTTTAACCTGGCTGGCAACTAAGCACCACACAGCCGCTCGCTCACTCCCCGAGCCGCGATCAGTCCCTGAGCCGCAATCATTCTCCCCACAACTGACCGACCGACTAACACCACCACCACCCCCTCCCCGAGCATGATGTTATATGGTATGGAATAGCTCTTTGGTCAGTTTGGGTTAGCTGTCCTAGCTGTGCTCCCTCCCAGCTTGTTATGCACCTGGCCGAGCAGGAGAAGCTCAAAAAGTCCTTGAGTAGTCTGAGCACTACTTGGCAACAACTAAAAACATCAGTATGTTATCAACATTCTTCTAGTACTGAATCCAAAACACAGCACTATGCTAGCTTCTATGAAGAAAATTAACTCTACCCCAGCCAAAACCAGGACAGCTTAGAAGAACAAAAAACAAAATCAGAATAGAGAAAAGTGTCTGGGTGGACAATGGTTCCATGAGGCATTCGGTTTAGAAAAGCAGTCCCGTGAATTAGAAGGCAAAATCATCCCAAAATACACAAACAGAAAGACAAATACATTCCTTACATAAAGGAAAAAATAAACCTTTTAAGAAGTAATAAATATAATCTTCTCTCAGAAGATTTAGGAGTACAACAATTGTATCAAAAATGAAAAGTCAGGATATTAATTTCCAGTCTTCTTAAAAAAGAAAACTTTTGAAAAACTTTGTAGCACAGAAAAAAGACTCATAAGCATCTTTGATATTTATAGCATTTTTTGCAAATGTCAGTGAGGAAACACAAATGCTTTTGTATTCCATAGCAATACATTTAAAACATCACCTTTGGTGAAAAGGCTCAAATCTGGAAGCTGTAGTAATAATTACTGATGATTTTTCAGGAGGCTGTGTTGGTCAACATGGCATTATTAAGACAGGCTTAGTTTTGCTACCTTCCAGAAAAGACAAAACCCAAAGCAACGAAAATGCTTCTTCCATATATATTTCAAACCTAAGTGATATTTCATGTCTATCTCATGTTTGAGGAGAATCAGCTTGCACTTTCAAAACTAATGGAATATCTTACCTTAAAAAAAAATAAATAAAAATAAAACCACATGTGGAACTGATCATGAAATATCCCAAATAGTCCACTACTAACCTCTGTCTGTAACAGAAGCAAACCGCTGTAACTGTAATACTACGCATCATTACAAAGTTTCATAGAAAAATCGGTTCCTGAAAAACCTGAACTGCCTTTCTCCATTTTGTTCATTCAGATGGAAAAGTTATGCTACTTGACGTAACCAGGACAACAGCGTCATACATGACCTTTAAAAAAGTCTTGCACTTTGAATGATTTCCATCTCTCCACGGGTGATCAGAGACCTTGAGCTGCAAGAAGGAAATAGCCTATCCTCACATGCTAAAAACACTTGTAGAAAAATACCCTAATTCCTTAGATAGAAACAGGATTTTATCAGAGCTCAAAACTCAACAGCAACTATACATCTGTTGGTCTGTGCATCACACATGCATTAGTCAATAACTGAATGTATGGACTGATGGATTACCACTTGAAGAGGTTTTTTTTTGCCTAAGTTTATCAGTAGATTTGAGTCAGTAAGCACCCACTCAAACTGATTACAGGAGAAAAAATTTGCAAAGCAGAAATAACGTACAGAAATAGTAAATGCATTTCAACTACATAGAAAAATGTGTTTTAAAGGACAACTCTGAAAGAAAATATTTAATTAAAATAAATTCCAGACAAAAGATCCTGCTACATTTGAGGCACCAAAAAGCTCCTGTGTTACGCAAACAAACAGCACCTGAAAGAGCTTAAACCTTAAACCAGACTTACGCTTGTTAAAAAAAAGACTAACCAGGACTAAGCCATGCACCACTGCTGCAAAAAAAAAAAATTTGTAAAAATCTGTAACATGCATATGCTGTATATACCTTGATGAAGGAAAAGGAAGAGGGGGAATTTCACTGTTGATTTTGTCACAGTAGTGCTCAAGAAAACAACGAAGATGAGAAAAGGTACTTTCTTCAAGGTCTACACAATAGGGTCTGTGCCATGCCACAACTTGCCTGGAATCAAACATCAAAATATGTTAACTACTGAAAATTTTCCAACTGTTTCAATAAATTAACAGTTTAAGTAGCTTGAGGACATGCTTGACCAAAACAATTTTTTTTCTTACAACACACTAATATGATTGAGGCAGACTAACTTCCGGAACCTTGAAGGTATTTTCTGTTCTCTTTTCTGTAGAGGTCTTCACAAATCACTCTTTTTTCATTTATGAACAACAATACCTACAATGCCGTAAATATAAAGCCATATGTATTTAATCTGATTCATGCAAAAGCTGACCATTACTCACAAAGATGGTTTTAGTAAAAATGCTGGATTACAAAGAGACTTTGGTACAATGTAGGGAGAATTCAAAGGGGGTATTACGACTTAGTGCTATCTGAGTCTCACTATTTTCTTAACTGATTTTTCTAAGATAGCTCCCTTTAAAACAGGGTATTTGAAGCTCTTTCTGAATTATCTTCCAAATAGTAAGTTCTTCTATTCCTTTGTGTTAGTCCATATATAAATCTGGAGTTAACCAGTCCAATTCAATCACTTACTCATATCTTCAGTGTAACAAAGTATTATTTCAGTTACTGTATATTAATAACCAAACTATTTATTAGGTCCCTGTTTTTAATTTAAGTTAACATGTAACCATCCAAAAATTTGTTTAAATCAACATCAGTAATTTGTCAAAACTTCCCCATTTCCCTAAGTCTTGTGTTTAGTTTACCCCTTGTAACACTAAAGGAAACTGGCTAAGCCATAAAAAAATCCTGTCAGAAGCACAAAATACAAAATACCAAGTTGCTTCTCCTGCGACTGCCTAACTTGTTGATTTATAGTAAACAGAGGTAATTTTTGTCTAACAGCAGGTAAGAAATCTTCATATACAAAGAACTAATAGCCAAATCCTTGGTGCTGCTACATTTTCACTTGTAATCTTTAACAGTTTAAAAGAAGAAAGAAGAGAAGGAAAGAGAGGAAGAGAAAGAAAAGACTCTCCAGTCCAAAACAATACAAGCAGAATACTTGAAACGCATGACATGGTTAACACTTTCAGCCAAGAGCTACATGTACCCCAAAGCGGACTTGTATAAAAAGAATTTATACCTGTCCCCCAATGTCATTGTTACCTGTCCCTTGGAAGAGCTGTCCAGGCAAGGCTATGGGACGTTACTGCTGAACTTTGTTGAATTGCAACTCCATCTAAACCACTTACTTTCTTTGGTTTAGTAATGGGACCAGTAGAGTTTCCCTGACCACACTGTCCCATTGAATTGTTACCCCAAGCATAAACTTCATTATCTATAAATATAAATAAAGTAGAAAACAAAACTTGAGATACAATTGCTTTTGATCAAGAGAAGTATTATGTATTTTTACACCCTATTCTTTTTACCATGAGAAAGTGCCAAACAGTGACTGTCACCAATCGAAATATCAACTATTCTCGTAGCAGCCAGTTCTTCAATCAGCTTGGGTCTGAGAGCAGTTGCCTCTGAAGAGCCACAGCCAAGGCATGCACCGCAGCCCCATGCATAAACCTAGAGCAAACAAACCACAAAATATCAGCATGTCAAATTTGTGTTATTGGTGACCACAAACAAAGAAAGTACAGATGACCATTTGCACAATAATTGCAATTATGCTTTCAACAAAACATGCACAGTACTTTCATGACTCTAACGTACATTTCATACGATCTATAGTTCTTCCACCCAACCACTCTGCCAATCACTGGCCACAGAACACATCAATGGGGAGGCTGTTGCAAAAAAACTGCTACAGTAAACATCAACACTCCTAATCCATACTTTAAAAAGCCCATTGCCTTTGAATTGCAGTAGGGTGAGGGTGCAGGGGTCAGTCAAGTTCCATGTGTAGAAATGCTTATTGTATTACACGTATACACATCATAGAATCATCAAATCGTTTAGGTTGGAAAAGCCCTTTAAGATCATCAAGTCCCACCGTTAACCTAACCCTACACCATCCCACCACTAAACCATGTCCCTAAGCACCTCATCTAACCTTCTTTTAAATACATCCAGGGATGGGGACTCAACCACCTCCCTGGGCAGCCCATTCCAGGGCCTGACAACCCTTTCTGTGAAGAAATTTTTCCTAATGTCTAACCTAAACCTGCCCTGGCACAACTTCAGACCATTGCCCCTCGTCCTATTGCCTGTTACCAGGGAGAAGAGGCTGACCCCCACCTTGCTACAGCCTCCTTTCAGGTAATTGTAGAGGGTGATAAGGTCTCCCCTCAGCCTCCTCTTCTCCAGACTAAACAAACCCCAGTTCCCTCAGCCACTCCTCCTAAGACTTGTGCTCCAGACCCCTCACCAGCTTTGTGGCTCTCCTCTGGACATGTTCCAGCAAGGCAACGTCTTTCTTGTAGTGAGTGTATCATGCCAGCAAGGACCCTCATTTACCACCTAAATATTTATCTCCAAGCTCTCCTGAGATTTTTCAGATTAGAAATAAAACTGTCAGTTAACACCTATATTCTAAAATACGCATATGTTTTTGAAAACTATTAAATCACTTAACCACCTAAGTTGGTTAATGCATTAAAAATTACAAACATTTCACTGTTTTTTGCTTCCAGAACCCACTTTGCTTCCTGAATCTAATTTGGTTTTGCACTGGTTACATTTATCAACCTAAAAATAATTCATTTTCTGTGGCTAAGCAAGACTCTTGAAAAGTGTACTTTTACATGACTCTTCAGCACATATTTAATTACTCCAGTGCATTAGGATGTCAGTACTTTAGCCAACCTCTAATCAAGAGCTTTACTGATATTTATGTACTAGTTGAGTTTTTTCCCAACAGTTAAAATAATAAATGCTGAAATAATGAACGCACACCATCTTCACCAACTTTCATCATTTGAGTGAAAACTTTTTTTTGCCTACCTGCCCTGTTGATGTCAAAGCAAGTGAAGACTGGCTCCCAGCACAAACTTTTCGAATAAACATTCCTTGCAAGGCTTCTATAACTTTAGGCTTATATACTCTATTTGTATCACCATGACCAAGTTTGCCTACAAAAGGAGGAAACATAAGTGGAAGGTATTTTCAATACATAAACTACAACAATTAGAAGTGCCCAAAAATAATTATCTTTGGATAGCCAAAAATGGCAGAGTATATTTTTAAAATTAAAACATATTACAATCTTCATAAAACCTATTCTCTTTCAACTGTAGTAATTACAGACGTCAGGAAATATGTATTTATTACAGTGTATTTAAAAATCAAAATATTAATTCCATATATCTAACACTACTCGTTGCCTGATATGTAATTACTAAAGCCTTCCAAAGTACTACATCTTTTTATATTTGAAAAAAAAAGATTAAAAAATTTCTCTCTCCTACTTTATAAATTGACTTGAAAAAACATCAACTTTTCTGCATTTTTTCCTAACAGCTGTGTGCTTGCATGTAAACTTTAATATTTTTATTTTCTTATTCCTCCTTTAAGCTATTTGTCTCCACAACTTCACCATTTCCAACCAATTACCTCAAAAACAAGCACTGTCACTGCACCGTGTCAGTGTATTGACAGGAAAACATTTCTCAAAAGGAAGGAGAAAAAACAAAATCAAATGTGAAATATATTACAAAGACTGATAATTTCTACAAAGGTTATGCTTTGATTCACATTTTAGTACCATACTATTAATAGCCAAAAGCTATTTAGTTATTTATAGCTGTTTATAATTTTCTGAAACAGAAGAGCAAACTCCAATAATTTGTGATGGTTAAGATGTCTATCCTGTTAAAAACTGATTTTTCAACTGAAATGACAGAAAGAGGGAGACAGAGGAGTGGGAACGATTCTATATGCGCATGCCACACCTAGCTTTCGAATGAAATTCTAATTCCTACCCCATTCTATTAACCACCAATTTGATTATGAGATTTCTATAGTCTGCATTTTCTTCTCTTCTCACACTAGACTAGGAAGCAGTAGGACAGAAATTTTAATTCGAGTTTTAATTTTTATCTAGCAGCATAACCAAATTTAGCTAAATACAGAAAATCAATTCTTCCGTCTTTGGCAAAACATCTACCAGCAGTGAAGCTTAGAAGCCCTTCATTTTTGAGATGGGAGATGTTTCTTCAAAAGGCAGTTTAAATGCAACAGTTTCTAGTACCCGAATACATTTATTGCCGTATCAAATAAGTGAGTTTATTCATAAGTTATTTGCAAAGCATTTTTTCAGAATTGTTTATGCATTCATTGAGCTTTCTGCTCTGTGAAACCTCTCTTCTGATAATCCGTTTTTGAAGTCTATAATCTTGCAGTTGATATTGTATTTATTTATTGTATACAATATGCAGTTGCATATTGTATTTAGATTTTACTAAAATTCTTTTCTTGAACAGCTACCAAATGACAAAAAAAACCCCAAACAAACTGCAAGGAGTACTGAGGCTATAAGGTAGATGGAATAAGACAAAAATTATTACCAAAATTTTAAGTTTTACCTACCATTATCTCCTCCTCCAAATGACCATACTGTTCTCCCATCTTTGGACAGAGCTATTGTATGTGAACTGCCACAGGAAACCTCTCCTACATTGCTAATATCTTTTACTAAGGTTGGAATGTTGCGGCTGTTGCTGTCACCATGACCTAAGGGAAAAAGAAAAATATATTTTCTTTTTGTGAAGATTTAAGTTCTATTTATGGTTTGTAATTTCAGTCAATTTTGCAAAACCCATATACACTGTAACTATCGCAAATGACAATTTCTGCCCACTTTTTGGAAAGATTTGTAGTAAGGTTTGGAACAGATCTGTAGTAAGGTTAACAAGCATTTCGTACTCCAGAACAGCTGTTCATACCTTACTGTCACTAAATCATAGGACTACTTTCTACCTAGTTTAAAAGAAATAAAAAGAAGTACTAGTACAATTGCCTTTAATACTAGTTGATTAGGTAGCTATACTACCTAGTACTGGGCGGCAGGTAGCCTGAACAGCATGAAGAAGCTAAAATAAGGGCACACTCTTACTACTGCCAATATAAGCATACATACTGCACAGACAGATAAAACCAGCAAATTAGTTAGACAGTGACAATTCTAACTGGTCCTTTCTGCAGAAGCCCCATACATTACAGTATCACCTACTTCATAATAAGCATGAGTTACATGTCTAATAAACTACAGAAATTCTGCAGATATGGAAAAAAAATGGGGAACAGAAGGAAAGGAATACTACATAGTATCCATAACTGATTAAATATGAACAAGTTACTATGACCTAATTAAATGCTACCTTTTAGCTGCACACTGGAACTCACCATTGCACACCTCAAGCTCCCCAAAGCACGTAAAAACCCCACATTAATCTAAAACTCAGTGAGAATGTTTCCATGATTCCCCCCAAAATTGTAGGTTAAACCTCTAACCCAGTATTCTTTTCTTAACAGCAGGGATAGGCTCAGCACTTCTACTGATTACCTTGAAAAACTGTGACAGTTTAAGTTGTAAAATACTGTCCTCATCACCTGCCCCTGTCAGTTACTTGCTTTCACCCCTCTATTTGGCAATCATGACATTCAAAGCCAAGACAGCAGAAAGGAACTAAAGCCTAATTTGAAGCAATTTTCTATGCAAAATCTGTTGGTTCAACTGAAGCTCCTTGAGAAGGGTGAGTTTATACTAGGCATACCAGCTGTACAGCAAATATAACGAAATAGACAAATGAACTTTCAGCTGTGTTTTTTCTGTCAGCTAAATTTAACTTTTTAGATGTATTAAGGTAAAACGGCATTAAGCCATTCTGGCAAACTTAATTTCAAGTACCCCTTATTAGTACCACATTAGAATCAGGCCCTTGATATTATTAGCCAGTTATTCATGACTTCAAAGAACCATCCTACCATCACTAGATCATGTTTATCTAGAATCCCAGCTTATTTAAAACATCTACTGTTTACATTTAAGTGGCAGTGGCAGTTATAAATAGTCTTATGAATGAATGAAGGCAGCTTTTCCTGAAAAGAAAAAATTTTAAAAATAGAATCTTTGTAAAATTAACTGCATTAAAATCTTTTAAGAGTCTCTGAACTAGTTTTAATACAGTCACTTACATACACACACCTGTGTACATGTGTGCATATGTATTTAAGAGGTGACAATAAGAGAACAAGGCATACTCATGTATAGTATCATTACCAGACACAGGAATTCTTCCCAAAGCATCTCATGAAATTTTAAAATTACCTAATCTTCCAAAGTCTCCCTCTCCCCATGTGTATAGCTCTCCATCTTCAGTAACAGCAGCACTATGTCTGTATCCAGCTGATACACATACAACAACCTACATTACATGCAAAAATAAAAATTGAGTTTTTATACAAACTGAATAAGAAGTTTAATATAAGAAGGCTTATGAAAGATAAGTTTCAGAAGCAGTCTACGTAAATTGACTTGTTCACTCGTGTGGAGCAAGTACACACAAATTAATCTTTGCAGTCTTTACTGTTTAGTATTTGATAAGTGGAAATCAGTATACAAAGAGACAAGTTTATGTATAAAACTGGTCATGATTTTTATCAAGCAAATTTAACAAAATGATATCCTAGTCTTACAGCAACAAAAAGAATCATCAGTGGATGTTTAAAACACCAGCCAAAACATAGACAGATAGGGAAGAGAAGGCCTTGTGGGACAATACAAAGCCATTTTTCAAATGAAGCCAGTAAAAAGCTATATACAAAAAGTCCTAACGTTACAGGTAACAGAAGCAACCATCCCCTGGAACATCACCGCAGTTCAGCAAAAGCACATGAGCAAGTTTTACCCTTAAGACTATGAGGTTTACTGACAATGCCATTGTCCAAATCACATGCTTAAAGGCAACCATAAGTTTTAGTGCTTTCCTGAAAGCAAACCCAGCTTCAAAGAGAAGTTTAGATAAAACACAGAACTTAAGGTTCCTTAAGATTTTATATACTTCAAATTTTACACAGTATCACAACCGAACAGAACAAAAATAGGTGTTCTACTACACAAAACATACCTTTCCTTGCAGAGGACCCTGAATAAGTTTGGGATATTTCTGAGTCGAACTATTCCCATGTCCCAGTTTTCCATAATCACCATCACCCCAGCTGAAGACTTCCCCTTCTGTTGTAAATGCTAAAGTGTGACCATCAGATCCTTTTGAAGATGACACTTTTTTAATAGACCTGTGAGGCTCAAAAGTCAATTTCTTCAATGTGGACTGATTATTGGAGTCACCCAGTCCTAGTCTCCCGTAGCTGCCTTTACCACAGGCTCTAACAGAACCATCCGTAGAAATAACAAAAGTACAATATTGTCCAGCTTCGATCTATAAACAAAAGTGTTAAAATAGTAAAAAAGAAAGATTAGATAAATGTAAAATTCACATATAGGTCCAGAATGTATTTTTAAACAGAACGTCAGATTTCTTTACATAACCTTTCCCTATAACATACAGTAAAAACTAAGGAGAATTTGGACTTCAGCAGTGAAATTCAAATTCTTGAAAACCATTTTATGAGTAAATCTGTTTTCTTGAGGTAAAAAACGTAAACAGTGATTCATCTTTTATTTATTTGCACCTCTTCTACAGACTAGAGTCTTCTACAGACTACGGAACTTTTCTGCCTTCAGATCTCCAAGATTCATGGATGGAAATGGACAGTCTTTGAATGTATCTTAATTTCTGAAGACTAAAACCACAAAGTAACAGTTTGATAATGTACTGTAGGTTTTGCTTAATTTTAGCCAGTACCAAGCAGCAACATTACAGAAATATGCCAAATACTAAAAATCCACTACCATTTGAGAATATGCATTTTAATTACATAAACACCAAAGAAATAAGACCAAAAGTTTTTAAGAAAGAACTTGCCTCTATTGGAAAGTCAGCACACGGCTGAAGAATGACCTAATAGCAAACCAACTACCCTTGAAATAATTTCCTATAGGAATCTTAACACACTATAAGTGCAAAGCAGGTTCAAATCTGAAGCATAAAGGCACTGTGTGTCCACATCATAAAAAGGCACAATGCAAGTGGAGGACTGCACAGTGACAGCCCTGTTTACTGTGAATTAACTTCTTCATACAGACAAATCCTACAAAGATTGTCCATGAAAGTTGAAGAAGAAATTCTTTATCCCAGTGGGAAATCACATAAATATGTTTTATGGATGTATACAGTACTATTTAAAGAGTAACTCATTCATTCAGATCACTCATTCCATTCATGTATTAATGTTTTAACAAATTTTTCTGAATGCATAAATTTGCTTTATGATGCCTGGTCCTGCAGGCCACTGGCATATAAAATATATCAGTGACGTCAATGGAAACAATTTCAGAAAATGTACCTAAACTGTCTAGTGACCAAAACAATGCTTTTACTTAAGTGAACACTGCAAAGCCAATACAGTAACAGAAAAGCAAACTATTCTATTCTGTGTCATGCATCAATAGAAGTGCTCAACTGCAACTACAGAATCTGTGACTGAGAGCAGAAAGAGCATGCTGTACATTGACTTTCAGAAAGCTAATTAAGGTTGCTGTGCCAGCAGTTAGCCTGGTTTGGACTTTTAAACTAGGAAACCCTGGTGTGAAAACCACCAATGGGAAAGAAAATTGAGAAGTTAAGATATATTTTAAACAACAGTAAAAAAACAAAAAAAAAAAAAAAAAAAACCCAAACCCCAACCAAAACTACAGGCAAGCAAATTCATCTCTGCAAATGCATTTCATAACAAGTTAGATAAATAAATCGTTCTTGTTACATGGATATTAATCTGTGTGTGTGTCACTAAAAAAGAAACAATGTTTCTTCCAGGCATCAATAAAAGTAGTGAGATACTTTCAGTAAAATAACTTGCGTGATTAATTCTGAGCATCATACCTTCACTACAACTGACACTCAGAAACAAAGTACTATTTCCCAATTTCATACTATAACCATGAAGCTGTTAAACGTTACATAATGTACCACTGTAAATGTCACTCACCGTCTGTGCATCAGAAAAACTTGGAGCAAGCTTGGGTTGAAGTATTTTCTCTTGAGTTCCTTCTACCAGTTGATGACTGCTGTTGCTACCCCAAACATACACTTCACAGGTCTCAGAAACAATGGGAGCATCACCCGTTTGAATGCTGTCAGGGCTGGCACATGTCCTTGAGTAGTCTGATGCCATTCGGCAAACCTATTAAAATGAGAGATTTATTACACAGTAGCATTTTCATTTATTTCCATAAAGTCACAATGTTTAATGCAACTTTAATTTCCCCTCAATATGATTCTCTGCCTAAAACACAAATCATCCATCACCGTATCATTAGCTTGCTCAAATTACTTTGTTACTCTACATCTTAAGTTTTTCACCTTTTTTTGCCTTCCTCTTCTACTCAGTAGAGACTGGACCATACCCACATGCACAAACCAATCAGATGTGTGAGGGGGAAGTAAACTACAATTACCTTAAAGTCAAGGTTCGTTTCAAGACATACCTCTTCAAATAAACACAGAGCTGCCTCATAAAGAGAACATAAGCCATCAGATGTTCTAGTCGGTTCTCTCCATTGACTTCGATCAGCAGATGATCCCTACAATTTTTAAATATTATTATGAGAAAAATACTTCCATACAACAACAGTGCACCCATACAAAATACACTAGGGATTTGTTCTTATAGTTAAGCAAAATTAAAAGCTTTTTCCATAAGCATAAGTAAACTACTTTTCTGCCCTGAGCTGTGATATCTGCATACACCTCAGTATAACAAAAATGGGTCAAGTGCTAGTTAAACATTCTAATTTATTAATTTTTGTGAAAATACCTGGGTTTAGCATTGATTTCTCCTAATACTGTTTTGTTCTGAAACACGTGTCACCTGTGTTTTGTTTAAAGTGATTATTATTTAATTTTAAGATGACTAATCATCATTATTTTTGTTCTTACATATCTTCCATATTTTGGTCTCTAATTTTATATCCAGTCCAAAACTAACAACAAATAAAGTTGCCCATCAGGACACACAATCCAATTCAGATCCTTCCACTGACATGCTCTTCTCATGGTCCTCATTCTTTAAATTTTTTAGCTTTTAAAATTTATCTTTATTAGCAAGCATTACAAGCTTGAGAGGAGAGAAAAGAATTACTTCTTTGGGGAAAAAGTTCTCCTCTGTTTCAGTCTGAGCATATGAGGCAGAAGCTTGCCACAAGTTCTGATTGCATATTGTGTAATAATTGCTCAGCTTTAAAAAGAATATTCATCTGGGTTCAGAAGTAAGCATTCAACATACAAAGCAATGTGCCATACTTCCAAACAATTCAGCTGATGTTCATATGACATTGGTTTCTGAGCAGTAACAAAAGCACGAAACATCTCAAATCTTAACAATTCTCCAAAGATTTATAAGCAGAGGCCCAGGTTCATTGGAGCGCAGGAATGTCCAATATAAGTAACTTTGCACAGGAACAAGGCATATTGCAAAACTTTGCATTCTTCGCAAATTCAGCAAAGCAAGCCTTAAATACAGTTCCATACTTTCTAACTTTTACATGTGAAGTGCAAGTGGATCAAGTATGCCCTTGATTCTTTTCCTGAAGTTACAGCATAACACCAAAAGTGACAACACACAGATTGCTTTGCTCTTTCATCTCCTTTACCTACAAGGAAATGGGTGGGGCAGGGAGGAAGAGAGAGATAAAGGAAATACTGAAAAAAAATCTTTCACAAAAAATATCCTTTTTAATATATTAAGCAAACTATTCAGCAAACTGGCATTCAGTGTTGAGAAACTATTTAAAGTTAAGAATGCAACTACATTTGCAATGCAGGAAAATGAAAGCTGGTATACCCACCAAAGATCGCCGCATCTGTGTTAATATACTCATAAAGCAATCAAAGCTGATCATCCCTTCTGGGCTTTGCAGCAACTTGGTTTTCTCCATGGTGTTTACTACAGCTGAAGCACCTAAAGCCATTTCTATCCATTCAAGAAGATATCGCAGGGAACCTCGTTGGGCAGCCAAACCAAGAAGCAATTCAGAAGCTAATCTACGACCTAAAGTGTCTGCCCCAGAGTTTGGAATTGTTACTCCTTTAAGAAATGTTGTTACTTGTGATAAACAGTCCAACCCCATTGGTGGAATCTTGCTTTCATTTGCTAAAGATAAAGGTGGTAAAGAGCTCACTACTTCTATTGCAGTATGGATAACATCATTGCAAAGACTGAGGCCAGGTCCTGATGCGGGCATCATCCAGCTTTGTCTTAGCAGTGCAAATAACAAACTTAATCCAGTCCGAACCCCCATTTCTATGAGCGCATCTGTACTTGACCTAGGACGTTCACTGACAGAATGCACATCTGTTGAGCCAGAACTGCTTTCTGGAGAATGCTGCTGTTGTTTCACCTTACCCTTGTCATGATACTTATTAGAAAGTGCATAGAAGACACGCTGTAACACAAGGAGACGTTTTCGAAGCGCTCCAGCAAATGGAGAGTCTGAGCACACCATCTTCGCCAGTGCCAGCTGGCTGCTAAGAAGGGCATCCAAGTAGTGGTCCTGTTCATCACTAGATAGAGATTCCCGCTCAAAATCTGGTAACTGAGGTCCTTTGAGACACAGAACCTGCTGAGGCAATGGCACCACTTCTTTATTGCTGACTAACTTAGCATACAAGATAGAAACTCCCTCCCTTGTTGCAATAGATTCACTGTCTTCTGTGATCCAGGAGCTGTTTAGATGTTCAAGCCATTTCAGCTTCACAGGTGGGACCATAGCTGCCATGTTGGTTTACTCCTTTGCCATTAGTCCTGAAGAAGAAAAAGCCTGTAAAAAGGTGTGCAATATTATCTACAGACCTTATTATTCACAGCAGGACAAATCCTAATAATCCTTTACAAAAACAAGTAGCAAAAGATTAATCACCAAAGTTCCACCATTTTACCCATATAAGTGCTGCAACCTGGAATTCAGATCAATACTAACAATAGTTTAGGAGTAGTATAAAAAAGACATTTTTCAGATTATTTTTACGTTCACCTTAAAAATAAATAAGTACATGCGTATGTGCAACTTCCTTAACATAAGAATTTTAGTATAAGTCTGCATTTCTAAATCCATATGCACAAAAATTCACACAAAGCAGATTTAATTCTTCTATGTGCCAATGAAAATACTTTTAATATTCTATAAAGTACTCTCTTCACAGACAGCAAAACTGAGGACAAAGACTTCAAAATACATACAAGATCATACTCAACTGCGTACAAGTGAATGGAGTACCAGTGTAAACCTTCACCTTACAATAAATAAGACCACTAATTAATAACTAATGGTTCAATCTGTCAAACACACTTTTAAATCCTGCTGTCACAAGCCACCCTTCTGCCCTTCTAAGTAAGCTAGAGATCTCCTTAAAATCCATGCCAGAATGTTAAGCGGAAACCAGACAGATGGCTTGACTGCTAGAGTGGCACATTATGTAGATTCTATTCATTCAGTGAATAGGCTCTTCATAGCCAAATGCACACTACAGCTATTCCAAGTAAATTTACAGTATCAAAAATTATGTACTGCATTACATTAATGTATTGTATGACTTCAAATGTAGTCAAAGCTTTTAGGACAGATTTTTAAGGAAGGGGTCACTAACAGTTCGGAGGTAAAGACAAAACTTAATGCAACAACACTCCTTTACCAGGAAAGTTCAGATTGGTTGCCAAACCAACTTGACAGCTTACAACATTCCTTCAAATCAAAAACATCAATTAATTTGAGAGATATTCTTTTGCTGACAATTTGAGGAAAAATCCCCAACACACTATGAAACATGACACTTCTACATGGATTCAAACTCAGTGAAACACTATGGTGAAATTGCTACAAAATTCCTGGGAATCTACAGTTAAAATGGGATTCCTCACCACATTCCACAATGCTTTCTTTGGCTAGCAGAAGCCCCTGGAATATATCTTTCTTCTGACTTATGCATTGCCTGAACTCAAGTCAAGTTACTCAGATGAACAGAAAGATCCCTTTTTCCCTTGTTATTCCCTTGAGAGACGTAGTAGAGTCTGAGTTCTACACAGATGGCCTAAAACCTCAGTTACAAAACCTATGTGTGAAACTTGAACACTTTGATATTAAACTGCTTATAACTTGGCTTAAGTGAAAAGTAGTTTCAAGGTTTACAATTAATTAGGTGGGATTGCATTTTTTGTTCACAGTTTTAAAATTCAAAATCTAAAATAGATCAACAGATGGAAAAGTTACACTTAAATTATAGAATATCAGACCTTTCTGAAATTTAATCTGAGTACATCAACTTTCAAACTGAACACGGCAACAAGTCCTCTTGGATCACCTTCAGTAGGGAGAATATAGTGTAGGAAAAGCAGAGTATTTTCTGTACATAATCCTTTCAGGATGACACACTACAGCTGTATGGCACAGACAATGTGGCAAATACGCATACGGCCTTGTAGTTCCCCAGTGCTCAGTCACTGGAAACCTCATAACTATACTACTCAAAATGAAAGTGTAAGCCATTAAAAAAAAAGAAAAAAAAAATCATCAGAAGGGCATCTTGTATATTCAAAAGCATACAGTATCATTTAGGTGAATGATGCTGTAATAAAACTACTCCCCAAAATTAAGGTGATATAAGTTTAAATCAAGTTCGTTTTTAGTTAACTTTTGAGAGATCTTCTCTATCTCGAAACCCGCAGTGTAATGTTTTGATTAATGAGTTGGTAAAACAATGGCAACACAAAGTACAGAGGCACCTCTCCCATAAGTAGAGAATCTATTATTTGGAGATTCAGAGTACAACAATCTAGTGAATCACAGAAGCATTTTTACACTATTTTATAAAATGCTAACCACTTAGATTAGCCAGATGGATTTCTGTCACCTATATCCTGAATTCACTGAAGACTGAAACTGGATCACACAGAGAAAAAGATTATTCCTCTATCTACCCTAATAGAGAGTCTAACCCGAAGGTAAGACTAGGAGCACGGCTTTTCAGCACAGCAAATCAAAATAAACAAATACATAATAAAAATTAAATAAAATTAAATCCGGTCTATAAATACAGCAGAAAAAAAAGGGGGTGGAAAGTGGCTAAAGAAGAAAAAAGGAAAATATGGGCCTCAGAACAAATGGGTATGAAACAATCACAAATTAATTTAAATCGAAAAACTCAGAAGTTAATTCTGCATTAAGTTTCTAATGGAAATGGCAAACCCTTCTGAAACAAAGTATAATAAATTCTGATACACAACACAGAGAATTTTTCTAGTCTCATGCTGTCATTCTTCTAGGAAAGCATTTATTTCAGGCTAAAAAAAAGATCTTCCCTGAAGAGATTTCTAGCACAAAGAGAAATCCTAAGTAATCTGCAGCAAGAACAAAGCGAAAATTGTGCCAATTTTGCAATGTTTAGAGTCATAAAATAAACTAATTGTTTTTTAAATTTATTTAGAAAGTGTGTAACACTGTCTTAGTGACTGGTCTCTCATGGACAGATGAGGATGCATGGGGGAAGACTGTTCCATATAAATTGCAGCAATGCATGGCATTTCTTTGTCATGATACACATCTCACCGTAATTCACTTCTTCCAAGCACTATAGAATTGTATTTTAATGTTAGTAACCACAATTTTAGTTTACCTGGTTATTATTTTAAAATTACACATGAACAGCATTTATTTAACAGACAAGGTAACTCAAGATTTAGATCTGAAGAACCAAAAGTTACAGAATTGGTAAGCATGTCTCAGCATTATGATGATTTATGTCTGCACTGAATTATATGATGGGTGACCCTGCTTTCACATTCCGGTATTTTATAAGGGTAAAGGAGGTTAATCTAATGCGGTAGCTTTTCTGACAAAAATGTAAACTGTTGAACAGTCCACATCTCTCATACAACAAGAAATTCCATAGACCAAAACCCAAGGAACTACAACTGACAGTACTCTCCCAAGAATAAAGCAGTGACTAGAACTCTGATACTATACATTCTGTTTAGAGCTCAGGAATGGAAGATGTTAGTATTCTTCAAAAAATTCTTCTAACCAAAACCATTAAAGTATGCCACCGGTAGCCAAAGGCAAGCTGCTGCAGAGACCAGCATTTGCATGGTCTAGAAGTGTTGGCCTATGTGAGGCCAAGTTGAGATACAAGCAAAGCTTGTATTAGGACAGCTTCTTAGCAGGGCTTATTAGCTCAAGCACAGCACCATGTTGATAAAGTCCTGTTTACAGCATCCAAACTAGTCCACATATCTTGCTGCAGCATGTGTCATAGAACTTTTCAGTTCATTTCTTCTCATTTTTACGTTTCATCTTGCAATTTCAGGCTGTTCTGTCAAAACTTAAGTCTAAAAAAAAAAAAAAGGAATGCAATACCGGTTTGGAATAACTGTCTTTGGGGATTTCCAGCTACTGAAAAATGAAGTGAGGGCTTCAGTGATATATTCCATTCATAGTTCTGGATCAGAACCCTGGCATGAGTAGGAGAAATCTTAACAATCATTTACACAACATTCAAGTACTGCAAAAGTAAAAGCATTGATAATATGACCCAAAAAACCCTAGTTCCAAAAAAAACCACTGAGCTTGAAAAACATCTCACAGAAGAATGCAGACTGATCACAGCCAGTTGAGTCCGGGGTTCTTCTGAGAAAATTTTTAAAAATTAATAAATTACAAGCTGGAAAGGTGGGCCTGTGTGAACCTCATGAGGTTCAACAAGGCCAAGTGCAAGGTCCTGCACCTGGCTCAGGGTAACCCCCAGTATCAGTACAGGCTGGGGGAAGAAAGGATCGAGAGCAGCCCTGCCAAGAGGGACCTGGGGGCACTGATGGATGGAAAGCTGGACGTGAGCTGGCAATGAGCGCTGGTGGCCCAGAAGGCCAACCATACCCTGGGCTGCATCAGGAGAAGCGTGGCCAGCAGGTCGAGGGAGGCGATTCTGCCCCTCTACTCTGCTCTGGTGAGACCTCACCTAGAGTACTGTGTCCAGCTCTGGAGCCCTCAGCACAAGAAGGACATGGAACTGTTGGAGCGGGTCCAGAGGAGGGCCACAAAAACGATCCGAGGGCTGGAGCACCTCTCATATGAGGACAGGCTGAGAGGAGTTGGGGTTGTTCAGCCTGGAGAAGAGAAGGCTGAGGGGAGACCTGATTGTGGCCTTTCAGTACCTAAAGGGGGCCTACAGGAAAGATGGGGAAAATCTTTTTAGTAGGGATAGCTGTGACAGGACAAGGGGTAATGGATTTAAGCTAAACCAGGGTAGGTTTAGACTAGATATAAGGAAGAAATTCTTTACAATGAGGGTGGTACAACACTGGAACAGGTTGCCCAGAGAGGTAGTGGAGGCCCCATCCCTGGATATATTCAAGGCCAGGTCGGATGGGGCTCTGAGCAACCTGATCTAGTTAGCGGTGTCCCTGCTCACTGCAGGGGGGTTGGACTAGATGACCTCTAGGGGTCCCTTCCAACCCAAAACATTCTATGACTCTATGAAAAAGAACACTCTGCTCCCAAAGAGACACTCGAGTTATTAATTTTAATGCTAGTAGCATTTAGAACTCCAGTTTCTTCAAGAGGATTCTTGATGTTAACCATCAATTTTGTCAAGCTAACTTATAGCTTAATACACAAGGAGGCTTTTCCAAAGCAAAAAATTGTTTTCAAACTGCTCTTTTTAAAGAAGTGTTGTTTAAAGTAACCCACAAATGCCTTACTTCCTACTGTACAGAACAGATTTGTTTGACTCCTGGTTTATAAACATTATCCATAC